CCCAAGACACACACGCGCACACACCCGCAGACAGACAAAGACGCACGCGCGCGAAGTGTATCGCGTCGCGTACCGACAACTCGCAGAATTTCAAGCAAAACGCATGGAACTCGCGACGATTCTGTGATCTTACCGTTTATGTTTTTTCCTGTTTGTAAGTGATATTTAAAATGGTAACCGAAACGCGTTACGAGCACGTTTTAGCGAGTGAAAACACATACATCGATACACACACGACACACACACACACACACACACACGCATACACATAAACACACACATGCGCGCGACCTTCTTTTCCGTGGAATCCATCGCCTGCCTGCGCACGCTAACAAAAGACAACAGAAAGATATACAAGTAAAGGGGAAGACCGAAGAATAAAGTGAAGAAGACAATGAAGATGAATGAATGAAGATTTCAAAACAAAGACGAACAAAGAAGAATGTAAAATCTAGGTATCTCCGATCTACTAAGAGCCTCGGTTTCTTCATTTTTGTATGCTTCTTTAAGACTGTCTGATACAGGAAAAAAGGATAAATAAATGTGTACCAATCTCTAAACACGATCTGTATCATTTCGTTCACCCCGAATGCGAGGAAAACGTTAATGGAACGAAGAGGGTTTAAAGAGAATCGAAGAATTCAGATTATCAAATAAAACAAACGAATTTTTCAATCCTATCTTTGTGTCTTTATTGCGTAGAAATATATAATAATGAAAAGTCACTCGCAGAGTGCGAAGCGTTCCGGTGTAAAATAGAATTTTAATACGGGGGGATCTTATTTCACAGCTCCAAATTCCATTAAGCATTCAATTGTGTCTACTTGATTGCTCCTGCGCGCTGCGACCAATGGTGTCACGTTAAACAATGCTTCCGTGTGTACATCGATTAATTTGTTGTTCAAAATATATCGAATAGCATCGGAGTTCCCCGTTAACGCAGCTATGTGCAAAATTGTCTGACCCACGTTGTCCGTTGCTCCCGTGTCAGCTCCTAGCTCGATCATTTGTATCATTGCGGCTAAATGACCTCCTTTTATCGACTCGTGTAGAGCAGTCGCTCCGGAGGAATCCTTAGCATTTAGTAGATCGGGATTTAGCGCCGCGAGTCGTTCGATTAATGACTGATGACCGTGAAATGCTAAAGGTAAGTAAAACGATTTAATAATTATCGCAAAATCATTCTTATTTAACCCCTTGCCCTTAGACTTATTTTTCAACTGTGATTGATACAACAACTCTGTCAGTAGGAATTTGTTGAAAACAGATAAAAATCCTATCCATATTCTACGTCTATGTTTGCCCTAGAATATAATAATTGATAAAAGAAGATTAATACTTAACTTGAAGTCAAAGGAATTGAGTAGCATTCATGTTTGTTAAATTCTATTTAAAATGTTCACCACGAGTCTCGCAGGTTGTTGTGAGACAAGGGGTTAAATATACAATCGGTATTTGTCACGTAAAAATTTCTACCGGCAATGTGCATGGGACTACGGCCATTATTACTTTTCGCATCGATGCATTTCGCCGAGTGATTCAACAACAAATCGAAAGCATTTAGATCGCCCGAACGGCAAACAATATGGAACGGTGTCCAACCATCTTTATTTCGGAAAAACGGATTCGCTTTTGCTTCTAAAAGCGCGACAATACAGCTGCAGGCTTCGCTGCCAGTTTTGGTACATGCCAGCATAAGTGGAGTCCAATCGGCGCGCTTTAAAGAGTCTGCATCAGCTCCTTCAAGAATAAAAAGCTTTTAATCTACTATGAGAAATGATTGAAATCGATTAGATAAAAGTTCCGCTACTCGGGCAACTATATTTAACGCTAAGTCTACGGGACGCGTCAATTTGACGCATATTAAGTGTTACAAACATTATTTAGTAAATGTATCTATCGATGTTAATTGATGCGATAACACAAATGTGTATTTTAATTACCGAATCTTTAACACGTTGACTGCCATGGTGGTCACCGGTGAACGGAGCTTCCAAAATACTTGAAAACAATTGCCGTAAGAAAATTGATATTAAATCAAAACACCTAGTAACACAAGTGTCAATAATTGTTTCTAATACTACTTTCCTCTATTATAAAGGAATTAATCTTACTATAACAAAATACTTGAAATTCTCATGGCAGTCAACGTGTTAAACCTCTAACTCCCAAAATCTAAATGAACCAACATCAAATTTGTTAAAACTGTACAATAAATACCGGTAAACCTAGTGTTAAGATACAAACAATTTGTATTAAACACCTTTTTCTAGCAAATATTTCAGAATTTCACTGTGACTAAATTGGGCTGCCTCGTGCAAGGGTCTCTTCATATCTTTGTTAGCAACATCGATTTTATAGTCAGGCTTATCAAAGAATTCGCATAAATAACGAACAATATTCAAATGGCCTTCGCGCGCCGCAACGTGCAACGCAGTGTCGCCGGAAGTGGAATGTCGGAAGATTGTCCAATCTTGAATATTATATTTCGAAACAAGAGTTTCCACTCTAGGTAAATCACCGCTTTGACAAGCGTGCAGAAAATCTCGTGATAGGTTAGGTACCTCCATTGTACTTAACAATTATTCTGCACGAACTTCGAAACATGCGTGGCAAAAGATTGATTAAATAATTTATTGTGACAAAATATAATAAAGAAATGAAATAGAGCTTTAGAAGTGAAACAACTACTTGCCCTAAATGAAAATAAATATGTTAATACTTGAATTAACTACAGTCACCAGATGGCTTTCAACTTTTGTTCATAGCCTACCAGCGAATCTTGCTATTTAGTAAAATTGATAAAGATTCTGCTAACAGAATCTATATTATATTCTATTTTTATAAATGTAAGATGACAATTATATTTTTCTTTATATAAATTAACACGTATTTGATTTGTCATCTTATTAAATAGTGTTTATTTCTTATTTTAGTTTAGTTTACGGTCGACCTAGAAATTAATAACAATATAGATGATGTATGCAACGCAATTTTTTGTATATCGTTCTGTATTACCGATAGAATTTATGCCTAAAACCTCGAAGATCTCTGTACCATTTCAGTATCGCGGTCGATGTTACCAATAATACAAGATGTTAGGCTTGTTAGCTGGAATCGAATTAGCTGTACAAGGAGATTTATCACAGATGGCGTCACGAAACAAAGACAATTTCTAGTGTGCGATTTTATCATTCTAAGATAATTATAACATAATTTTCATTTAGAAAATTACGTCTTTATGTTGTCTGATTATTGCAACTTCAATTATCAGATAAAATATAATTCTTATAATTGCCAACCATAATAGCAGAGGGCAAAACAAAACGTGTGCTTTTTACACGACCGACAATCCAAACCATTGGGCCCTATATTATCAGCACTCTGTTGATATCATTATTTCTGTTACCTTATGACAAGATAGCATGGCTGGTTGCCTATCAAGTGGGATAAACTAATTGATTCTTTTAACAACTAGATGGCTTCAGCATGTTTTGTCTCCAAATGTAAAGCTCGATACTATTATAATGCATGGAGATGTAATTATTTTCAATAAGATCATATAAACGAATGAAATAAAAAATGTTAATTCAATATTCTATTGTTTAAGTCCAGGTGGCTTAATTTAAAACCACGAGCCACTCTGCAAATAATAAAATCACATGTAGAAACAAGATGTTATAAATATAAATCCACACATTGTTTTGTTAAAAAGTTATCGCAACAACGTATGAAAATTAACCACCGATTCGAGACTTTTACAGTTTGCAGGAAGCAATGGTTATTCCTTAATATTCATTCATACATTTATTCCTTCAACGTTTTCCATTATTCGCCACGTATTATACAAGCACTAATTCGTAGCGAACCCATCGTGCGTTACATTTTATTATATAATAACAGGGACGGAGTTAATAACTGCACACACGAAACAATTAATTAGTTCAATTAGTTAATGTTCCCAACGGAACGCCAGCTTCTTTTGCTCACTAACTCGGTAACGCTAATGCAGCCGACCATAGAACCGTTTTGAAAGTAAAATTAATCGTGCGAAACCTATCCTCGCACGTGAGTCATAAAGATCTCGCAATTATAACGTCATAATTGAATCACAGGGTGCGCGTCAGTACAGCGTGGTGCGTCGGAGCCCTTTCTACTTTTCGCCGATCAACCGAAACAAACAAAGAGAATCAATGGAACGAGAAACGATTAGACATAAGGGTTTTTCCCACGGAATCTCTCCTTTGTCCCGTTCGAATTCTCTCCGTCTAGATTCGATTGCATTCGGTTTCGATTTCCCGTATTCGTGGGACAATATATTAACAACCCCGCGACAGTCTCCGAATAATGGTACCTTCGCGGCGCAGTTTCAAGGGAACTGTAGTTATTAGTTTACATAGAAAGACGGTTTCGTTCTTTACGCGGAATTTCCATAACCGTTATGCCGGCGCGAGATAACAATGCAAATAATTAACCACCAATAAAGCGTTTCCGGGCAGGTTGTGCAACCGAGCGTGCGTGTGTTCGTGTACGCGACGAGCGTGCATCGCGAGAAAATCGCTTCGCGTGAACGTTCAAGGTTCGATTAAAACCATCCACCTTTCGCTTCGGTGTAATTGACGGACTGAAGACGCGTCCGCTAATTCTTGTTGTTCGCGGTCATCGTCGATATCGTTCCTTTGTAGCAAAAGTAACGAAGACCTTGTATAGCCATCCACGCTACCAGCATCATTACCGTTTGATAAATGATTTTTCGGCATCGCTGAAATGACCGTCCGTTTTTCCGGTAATTCATCTTCAGCGAATACCGAAACAAAGCGTCGAGGAAACCATGGCCGGTTCAATAGTCTTTATTATAATGAACACAATGGCACTCATCAATCATCGCATTATTAATGACCAACGTTTAGCAACAATAGTTATCCAAAGTCGAATAAATCATTAGTAGAACATAAGATTAAACGAGCATAATAATTATTACGATAGGAGTCCATTAGCTTTCACGTACGAATCAACTCTTTCGTATTTGCTAATCGATCTACGTACGAACCTCGAAGTGTTCGAGGAACTGATTCAGATAGTTCGAACTGGAAAACCGAGAATTCTCCGTATCTTTTTACGCCTCGGGGTTAAAACGGTTTGGCGATTATTAAGGAACTCATTGCTCATAGAAAAGCTGTTATTATCGTGCGCAAGGGAACCGACGTATGATACAAGGATTTATTTATAACCGGCCGCAAAGGATGTGGCTGTTGCAAAGGACACTCCGTCTCCATCGCATTATTTCATAGGACGGATAATCAACGGCAGCCTCGAGTAGCGAAGGTTCTATTTTCGAATAGGAAGCGAGCGTTTCCGTGTGCACGAGCACGCGAAAGAAGACGTGTTGGAAACGAACAGCGTAGAATAAATCCGCGACGTCGTCGTCGGCGTCAGAGGCAGCGGCAGCGGCAGCGGCAGCGGCGGGTTAGGTTGGCCCGTGCTGGCTCACTCGCTCCCGCTCGCCTGTTATTCTTGTTTTCTGACTGGCGCCAGCTGATAGACGTCGTACAGGGATCCGCGCAATTAAAGAATCAATTTTGCGTCGAATTATAGCTATCGAGTCCGAGGAAAACGACGTGTTATTATAGGCCTGCCGGATTGTACCGTTCCGCCGGCGATGACTTCTTTCGATCCCGTCGACGATCTCCGCGAGGATCGAAAGAATTTCAATGGATATCGTCCGCAGAACGAAATTAAAACGTAATCGAAGTCGTAACACAAAATGCTCTCTACGCGGCAGGGAAATAAAAGAATCGGACGTGTTCCGCGGCGGCGGTCGCGCCGCGTTCCTCCTTCTCGCGGAGCGGAGGTAATAAGCGTTCCTTTTGATCCTTTAGGGCGGTACGCGAAGCGTGAATTTTTCCCGACGCGAACCTGCTAACCGCCCGACCAAAAATAGCGTCTACCACGCTCGACTGTTTACCGCTAATTGTGCACCGAATAAAATCATAACGTTAATTAGCTCTTAGTGCCAGCCTGATCGCCGGATAGAAGATAGTCCCGGCATTCCTTTATATAGATCTCCGTTCGTAAAGGATCGATCGATTAACGAGTTCTGATTGCCCAGTTCGCGAACCCGCCGTATATATTCTTCGTGCATCGCATAAATTAAGTTCGCGATGTGGGTTGAAAGGAGATTCGTCGTATGCAAATTGTCGATCGATTGCCGGTACCGCGGGGTGAATTATACCCGTGTTGCCCGATGTTATGGCTGACAAAGGCACGGCTGGTACCGTCGTCATCCGAGTGCTTTACGGACCAACGTAGTAATCAAACGATACAGAAAGTTGCCGACTCGAACTATCCCGATACACCTTGTAACCGCGCCAGAGGACTGGGTCAATTCGCTCTGTACGCGAATACAGAAACCGGGGGATTTATCAATCTTTATCGCTCATAATGTTAGGAGCATGCCATGTACGCGTTGCGTGCGGGAACTCGGAGACTTCAACGCGTGTAGATACCCTTACATTTTTAGCCGAGGTGCAACGCTCTCCCAGTTTCCGATGGATTATGACACGGACGAACACGAGTTTACGGTCTGTAAAGTATTTCGAGGATTTTGGTGATTCGTGAATATTGGAGATATCGTAAAAATATTGTTCAAAGTGAAATCGTCCACAGTCATCGGACCGAAGTCGCTTCTACGAAACTTGCGGGTTACCATTCACTGTCACCTTGCTATTTCTACGCTGCTGAGCGATTTCAATCCGGATGTTACACGATCGCCAACAAAATGATCACGGGCAGCAGGACGTTTAAATCAACTGCTCAACGGTCGTCTGCTCGTTAACGAATTTCCTGTATCGCGTGAACGTCAGTCCGAGTTCACGGCGGGCTGATCGATAACCGGTCGGCCGAATGTTTGATCGATCCGCATTGGCATTGACCT